AAATAAGAAACTCAGTAAGCTTCACCTTCCTCAGCTATCAGTGGAGTTCATAATTTTAAAAAAATAGCAATAATCTGGGTACACAAAATCACTGGAGATTTACATACAAGTACTGCTCACTTAAGTACCAAGTTCCAGTGCTACAAACTAGGCTGTTAGGCAAACTGATCAATAAGCAAGGAACTTAAAGGTAAATGTCTCGTGGATGTTATGTGGTATGTCATAGCACCATAGGGTATTTATTTTTCAATATATATCCCACATCACAGTAGAATAATGTAATTCTACCCATATAAAAAGCATATGTTAGATAAGCACCAGAAAGCAACAAGACACACCACAACAAAATAATATAAATCCAGCTAATCATTTTTATTTATTCTGAATACTACTACAGGTGTACAATAAAGTACACATTTATAAAAGAAAATGTAGTCTTGCATGACTGCAAACATTTCATGTAGGGAATACTGAGTGCAGAAAGAGACAAAGTTGAGAAAGGGGGTTCCACACACTGGAAAACTGGTCTAAAGTTTAAGGGGTTGTTAAACAGGAAGGTGGTTAGATGAGAAGAAACTGTAAAATAATGCTTGTAAAGTAAACAGTAAGTGACTAATTATTAGCTATCATCTTTCTCTTAAAATGATCACTAACTTCACAACAGTTAGACACATAAAATGCCATACGGGGATGGTTGAATGGCACAGTAATAATGTGCTCCACAGGAGAAGCTGAATCCCATAAGGTGATACAGATTCAAATTCCTGGGTCAGTCAGTCTGAAACACAGTGGCCATGTAAGCAAGTGTCCAAGATCTGATGGGCTGCAGGACTGAAGGAAGGGGAGTCACCTTGTGGTGGGGACTCATCTCTCTCTTTTTCTCCCTCTCATGTACACATATACTTACTCTATCATGAGTAAATAATAAAACGTTTTTAAAAAGTCATATCTTCTCCTCTATCAGAATTATTCAAAATGTTTCAGAAACATTTACACAGAATTTGCAGGAAGAAAATTACTTCAGAAATTTTATGACTGATCTGTTATTTTCTTGTTATATATCTGAAAGAACACTGTAGTACTTTATTTCAGGGTTGACCATTAGTTTTAATTACTTATTATATGCCATCTTACACATTAAATTCTCTTATTTAATTCCATGAGGAGGAAATGACTATTTTACATATAGTGAAAACTAATGTCTAGAGTAAATAACTCATTAAAAGTCAAAAAGCAAGGAAGTAACAGAAGTAGAATTCAAGGGGGCTGGATAGTAGCACAGCAGTAAAATGAAATGCTCTGCAAGGCTGAGCCACAGGGAAGGTTTCTAGAGACCTTTCTGTGTAGGTCAGGCACACATGTGCCCATCATCTAGAACTGGCTAAGCTGGTGGTGGATCACAGCATCAAGACAACTTCGGGGGTGCAATATCTGTTTCTGTGTCCAGTTGTACTCTGACACTGAAAACTGCAACTGACACTGAAGTGTAACTTTTGGGAGTTTGCAGATCAGCAGCACCCACAGACTTCTCCCTGCACCCCCTTTTGTTGCACTGGGACTGCAAGCTGCTCATCAATGATAATGCTGCCCCTGCACCACCACCCTTCACCCTCCCACAGCAAGCTCAAACTTTTAAGGAGCACAATGAACATTAAGGGAAAAAATGGGAGAAAGGAGAGAATGTTCTGAGGGCTAAAAGATCTAAGATTGCCAGAGTCTCTACCAATTAAGGGTAAGGGAAGAAATCTACCTAAGAAGCCTCAAGGGTAAAGGTCAAAGATCCTTTCTGTTGATGATAACGTGTATGGTAATATCTTTGATTGGACTAATATAAGAGTATTCATGCTGGAAAAATTCATTTTGTATGCTATAATGATATACAGAGACTGAATGTATAGAAAACAATAAATAAATAAAGCTAAGTGACTAGAGCTTTCGTCTCAGAGGGTCTGAATGACAAACTGCCCCAGGTACAAAGAATTGCTGAGGGCTAATAAAGAATGACGACAGAGTGAGCAGAGTATCGCGGAAGAGTGGAGGGCACAGAGATAGCAACAATGTGGCTTACTCACTGTCTTCCTTGCTCACAGAAGAAATAAACTTTAAAAAAAGGAAGTTGATCTCAAACTCAGATCTCACGGACTCCAGTCAAGTCCTATAAATCAAGACTATCAAAGGACTACACCCACTACTCACTATCCCTAAGTAAAAATTGTATTACACTTGTTTTATATGGCCTGGAAAATAAACAAAACTTGTAAAAGGACAAAAATATTATATAACTTTTAAAATCCTATAACTTTTAACCCTAAACTTAAAATCTTTTATCAGCCCTGGTACACACATTCTGTGCCACGATTCAGTGTAAAGTTTACTTCACTAACAAATGCCTTACATATATGTCTCTGTAACATCATTAACTGAAAAGAACCTGTTGTTTTGCTTTTATAAATATTTTATTCACATGGTCTAAAATAACCGGGCTGGCTCCATGCTCTGGTGGTTAAGGCAGCAGGATTCACACAGCCCCAGCAGCTCAAGAGACACACTGGGCACGTGTGTGTGCCCAAAATCCTAAAAGTGGGGAGGCGTGGAAAAGAAGAGATTGCAGTGTGGTCAGGTCTCATGCTGGGGGTAGGGGGTGCTTTCTTCTTCCCTCTCTGTCTTCTGCCTCTGGTGAGTACACACACCCTCTTGCACACAAACACACACACACACACACACACACACAAAATGTTGAAAATTACTAATTCCATGCTATTATTACTCAAAGTATTTAATATAATTCCTTCTCTAATAAACCTCATGAACTTGTTGGATATTTTATTATTGTTTTTGATGATTCATGTGGAAATAGAAATCTTTTTAAAAATTATTTTTAAGTTTATTTCTTCCATGAGAGAGAAGAGACAGTGAGAGACAGACAGGTATCCCCAAAAGCATCCCTACACCATGATCCACTCCAGTTTTCTCTGGCCAAAATCACAGGGATGCACATGTGAGTTTAGTATGTTCAAGGAGGTACCAAGATGCAAACTCAGGTCTTTTTTCCATGTGTGTCCAGATATGTTACCACTGTGCCACTGCCTGGCCAGCAATTTCTTTTTAAGACAACATACTGTTTTAGATTTGCTTTTATTAGGGCTTCTGATCCACAGAGAAATAAAACACGCACACATACAATGTCTATACACAAGGGAAATTTTATTTTTAATTTAGTATAGAGAAAGGAAATTCAGAGGAACATATTCTGGTCCACTCATCTTTCATTTTCATTAAGAAAAAATAATTTGAAAAACAAGCATACCAATAAGTCAGATCTATGGTATATGCAATTAAAGATGAACAAAGAAAAGGAAATAACTGGGCTTGTGTTTTTCTAATGAGGAGAAATTTTCAGATTAGTATTCATCAAAGGGAAAATGCCACCCACAATATTTTATTCATTTGAGCTATGAATTTAAGAATTATTATCTGTGGACACTGCTTTATGAAAAGAATAGTAGTGCTCTACCAATTTGGAACATGTATTCCTATATTTTAAATTATTGTCAGTTTTTTAGCTTTACTAGAAGTATTTAAAATTTAATGATAAAGAAAAACAAGGTATGTCCTTATATACATAAAGAAAATTTCAAGTTCCAAATGATCAAAATGCCATGCTTTCTGTTTTCAGTGTTTATTTCAGAATTTACATGGTAACATACCTATGACTCGTGAAACACTGCTTTTGGAGAGATAAGGGCTATCTTAATATAAAATATCTAAAGGTGGTTATATTGGAGGAAAAACTACACTGTTGTAGACCTTAAAGACAAATCCTCATGTAGTGTTTTTATGATGAAAATCACAAAATTATTCGTAACTCAGTGGAAAAGTTCTTGAAGGAATAAATTAGCTACTTTTCATAGTTGTTTGCTTTTAGAAAACTTCAAGAAATCAGTAAGTTACACAGATGAAAAGCTACTGGTCAAAAGAATATTTATTTTGTGCAACTCTCTGGCCACAATAACATTTCACAATAAAGTGAACAGAAAACCCAAAGAGCGAAACTCAGATCCTGGGCTAGCCTATCTTACAAGAAACTCAGATCCTGGGCTAGCCTATCTTATAAGTCAAGGTCTCTCAGATCTCAGTTTTCTCACTTGGGAAATTAATGGAGTTCTTCAGTCAATGATGGCTGAATGCTTTCTATGTGCCAAACGCTGTGTTAGCAAAAGACGTTTGTTAACTGGTTTTTGTCTTCAAGTAAATAAAATCATGGCCCCTTGCTCTTACAAAGCTCCTAATCTAGTAAAGTGACAAACACAACACAGTAATTGCTATGCCGGGGCAAAGCAAAAGAGGCTGCCGAGAGGACAGTGAGGCGACTAGGATCTTAATAAATGAATGTGAGGTAGAGATGAGGAATATGAGCATTATGTGAAAAAACAACAGACTGTACACAGACCAGAAAAAACAAGAGAGGTTTAATGTAGGTGACACACAGGCTGAGTGCCAGAGAGAACTGGTAGGAGATAAACATAGACCCTCATGTCCCACACTAAGGGACTTGACCTTTCCACAGTAATAATTCATTTAAACATTATTGGTAAGGTATGTAAGGATATACCAAGACTTTGAAAACTGGCTATCGCCCAATGAGACAAATCCAATTAGTCAACCATTTCATTTAAGTTATTAGAGTTTCTTCAAGCAAAAAGGCAAAACTATCCAAGTTTTGATGCTGACATTACACAACCTAAAAGCCTCTCTTATCTGATAAGGTTAAAACTAGCAGTAAACTTCTATTATTATTATTATTACAGTAGTAAATAATTCCTTAAAGCAAGATATATAACAAGTGATTTACTTGTGTTCTTCATGTAGTACAAACTGTAAAGTTACAGGTGTGAACATTATATATCAGGTATTAGGTTAAAATGCTTTGTTCAAATAAAGCTTCACTCTGAATATCAATTAACCAGGAGGATATAAAGAGAGTGAAAAGTCCCATTTACCTGTGTTCTGCAGGAACAGGCGGTGGCCAAACAGCAGGATCTTTAAAAGGTTCATCTTGACAAGACACAGGGAAATCTGGGGGCTTGTCGATTTTAAAACTTTCTAAAGTGCTAACAATACTTTTAACTTGTTCATATTCTTCTAGTAATTCCTGCCGAACCTTAAAAGCAAAACAAACAGGGACAGCCTTTTATGCTATAACTGCTTACAGATTTTATAAATTGTGAATAAATTACTCTAGAATGTAAATTTTCTTAATGACAAAGTATGCAAATAAGTCACTAAAACACAGTGGAAGCCCAGCCATGGTAGGGACACAGCGGTTGAAACTGTTACTCAGTTGGCACGTAACACACTGAAAAGCCAAGCACAGTGGCATATGCCTGTAATCCCAGCTACACAGGAGGCTAAGGTAGGAAGTTCACAACACAGTGTGATACTGCCTAAAGAAAAATAAATTGTCATAAACTCCAAAGGACTATCTAAAGCAATAGAAAGTTGGTTTGAAAAAAGACATTATTATATACATTTTCTTAAGGGAAGTAGTTTTACCTTTCATAATGAAACTCTATCTCTACCAAAGAATATGGTGATCATTAACACAATTTAAAATAAGCAACTAAGTCAGTCACAAGTTTAACATTCCAGACACCTAAAAGTCATGGTAAATCCTTTTAATACACTTATAAACAGATTCCAGAGAACCGTCGGCCAGTATTTTCATCAGCATTTCCTATCTCCAAAATTACTAAATATGAAACTTCTGTCATAAGTGTCTGAAAGCTTGAAGCAGTATAATAATTACATGACTCTAATTTTTATTTAAACTCTCCTGTACCTAAAATTTGAACTATTTTGGCCTTCTTTAAATTCTTTTAAGTCCTGAGGAAGTTTATTCTGAGTTCAAAAGTATGGTGTTTCATATAGCTATAATGTGGAAATTCTCCTGTTTTCAAAACTATGACTCCACACTAATTTTCAAAAGTAAACAGATAAAGATTAAAACTTACATTTATAAATTAATTTTAACCATTCTAATTTTTCAACCAGAAAGCATATTTTACTGTAAAGTAAAACATTAAAATTGTTCTTTATTTTTGTGCTAATACATTGAAAGAAGTATATGAAGGATACATAACCAAAGAAAAACCTAAATAAAATGCAAATATTAATATATATAATTATATAATGTGCTATACTAGGACCCAATAGAAAAGAACACAGTAGAAATATCTGAATAGTAATGTCAATATTTAACACATACAACTAAAAACATGTCAAAAATATTTCCATGACAGATTATTAAACCACCCTGCCTGCTGTGGTTAGTATGATAGGAAGAAAAAGAAAAAAAAAAACTTTCAGCCTGAGATAAAGCAAATATATTGTTCTCACTTAATGTAATTTGCTAAATTGGAAAATTAGCCCTCAAAACTTAGTAAAATGTCAGTTTCTGACTAGAGAAAAAATTAGAAGAAATATTTAAAAGGCATTAGTATGTGAAATGGAAACTTCAAAGAAATGTTTGACTTTATAGTTTTAATTTTTAAAGGACTGTAACAGAAAGTGCCCACATTTTGGCAACACATACTAAAATCAGAGTGATACAGAAAAGATCGGCATGACCTCTGCACAAGGATGACACAAATTCATGAAGTATGCTATTTTTTAATTTAAATTTTTCTAAAAAATGTGATAGATTATTTCAGTTTATAAAATGGAATATGGAAACTTCATGAATACTACCTTATATAAAACAAAAACCAATTCTGCTTAAATAAATTTTATCAAAGATGAATGGAATGCGCTAATTATTTTGTTAAAGATATATCACTTATAAGTATTATTTGTAAAATATATACATATATCAATAAATATATACATACGTAAATATGTATAGATACACAAATGCACTTTTTTAAGTTATAATGAATTTGGAATTGGTGCACCAAACAAGAATTACTTTAAAAGATGTTGATTAATTAAGACATTAAATTAAAATTAAATTAAAACACAACTGAGATCAAAATTCAAGTTTTTATTAACTGCACCATTATAATCAAGATGTATAATCAAAAGATGACAAATATATTATTTTTTATTAGATTACTGGCTCATTTGTATTTGTAAGGAGTCTTTCAAAAGATGAGGAAACATTCTTACAGGAAAAGTTTTATGAAATTTGTCAAAACTACATGTAAAAATTAAAGGGGAAAGAGCAAGTAGAAATATTTCAAAAACTTGTAGTTACACACAATTACACAACTGAGCATGACAATTAAAAAATTAAAAGTACTCAATTAGAATTAAGTATATCTTGAAAATACAGCAAATAAAATATATGATCAAAAATATATAAAATATTATTTAGAGAACACATCAAAAATTTATTCAGGGAGTTTGGAAACAAAGCAACTATTAGAATGGAACTCATACCTAGAACTAATGCACTGCATCTCTTTGCATCCCAGAGAACCCACCAAAACCCAAGCCCATGTGAGCAGCTGCAGCTACCATCCCAAAGAGATTGAGCAACAGGGTTACAACCCTGGCACTCAAGCCAACAAAACATTACATACTTCAGAACACAGATGGACCAGCACAGGGGGATTACTGCTTTAAGGAACAGATAGACAAACACAGGAGCTTCCTATTGAGCCAGGGTCATGCCTCCATAACTGAGGAGGCACTCTAGTCTCTGCCCCTGAAGTTCCTAGCTTGTCCTGAGGCCAGTCCAAGCACCAACTGTAGTGTAAAGTTCTTCCCCCTGCAGGGACTGTCCAAACTCAGCTCCTACAGCCCCTGAATTACCTTGGGCCCAGCTCATGCAAACTTTCAGAACAGGGACTCCAGTCTTCTGCAGGAGCCCTCCAGGTGATTCAGGCTTCTGCTACTGAAAGGTAATGAGCCTGAGACACACAGCAGCTCAACATGGGCCCCCCCATTGCAGGAACCCACAAGATTCAGCTAACCCCCACTCCTGAACAGCACTCCTGGCCCAGCAACTGCCACAGTAATAGCACATGGGTCCTGCCCCCGAGTGAGGTCCAACCAGACTCAGCAGTCTGGCACTCTGAGCTCTACCATCTTGGGTGGTTGCCCCATCTATGTTTCCAGGATTGATAGGCTCCTAGAGACTGCAGGTCAACAACCCTGGCCCTTACCACTTCCAATAGCCAAGTAGCTTACTTGGTGATTTCCCTCACCCAATAAAATTGTACCACTACTACCACAAGCACTCAAAGGCTAGAACACTGAGGCACTCAAGAGTCACCGGTGTTAGAGAATACAACAAAAGAAAATCTATATAAACTACACTACTACATCCACTCAAATCAAAACACCCAACCTAATCAAGACTAAAGGGCACATTCTCAAAAACATTTTCTACTGGGAACCAGCAGTTAGTGTAATGGCTATGTCGCTAGACTCCCACGTAGTCGACCGCGGTTCGCGTCCCGGACCCGGTGGCTTAAAACTCACGCCGGGCGCGTGTGCGTGCGTGCCCAAGATCCCGGGAGGAGAATGGAGGAGAAGGGATTGCGGCGTGACCATTCCCCCTGGGGGGAGATTTCTCGCTTTCTGTCTCTATGTCTCTCTCTGTCTGTCTGGCGAGCGCACAAGCCGTATAGTGAAAAAAAAAAAAAACCTCTCAAAAAACAAAACAAAAAAAAACATTTTCTACTTAAGAAAGATATGTTCCATAGAACAGCAGATGGTATAGTGGTTATGTCACTGGATTCTCACATAGCCTATGGTGGTTTGAGTCTCAGACCCGGTGGCTTGAAAAACCACACTGGGCTCATGTGCATGCATGCCTAAGATCCCGTGAGGTAAATGAAGAAGGGACTGTGGCATGACCATTCCCCTGCCAGGGGAGTGGTGATTTTTCACTTTTCCTCTCACTGTGTCTGTCTCTTTCTCTCTCTCTGGTGAACACAGGTGCCCTAAGGCAAAAATCTCTAAAACAAAAAAAGAAAGCTATGCTCCAAAATCAGAAGAGATGACTATTTCACCAGATGTGCAGATATCAGTATGGGTAAGCAACAAACACAAAAAGGAAGGAAAACTAACACTTTTGAAGGAACACAATGCTTCTGAGAACTAGATCCCAAAGATGTGATGCCTGAAGGAGAATTCAAAATTATTCTAAAGAAAGTCAGCAAAATACAGAAGAGTACAGAAAAGTACCAATAGGCAATTCAACAAAAATGGAAAAACAATACAAGACCAAAGTAAGAAATAAAACACAGAACAGAAATCATAAGAACCAAACAGAAATTCTCTAACTGAAACATTCAATAAGTTAAAAATTGCAAGTACAGTAGAGAGCTTCAACAGCAGATTAGACCAAACTGAAGAAAGAATCTGAGATCTGGAAGATAAATCTTTGAAAAACATTCAGTCAGTGAAAAAATTAGGGGGAAAAAGAAAAAGAAAAAAGAAAAAGAATAAATACAGTCAAAAGGACTTAATGGGATACCAAAAAGCAAACAAATATTCTCTCCATGGGAATTCAAGAAGCAGCAGGAACAAAGAGAGGAACTGAAAAAAAAAATTTTAAAAGGGTTTTGCCAAAGGGCAGATGCACTCACCAGAGAGAAACAGAGACACTGGAAGGGAAAGCAAAAAATCACTCCCTATGGCAGATGGCCACACTGCAATACCTTCTCTCCCATTTTCCTCTTGGGACTTTTGGCATGCATGCCCACGTGCACAGCATGATTTTCAAGCCACTGGGTCCAGAACTTGAACTGCAATGGGCCATGTGGGAATCCAGTGCCATAACCACCATATCACCTGCAAGCCCCAGAAACTAAAATTTATTTAATAAAATAACCAAAAATGGGACCAGCAGTTAGCGTAATGGCTATGTCGCTAGACTCCCATGTAGTCAACTACGGTTCGAGTCCTGGACTCAGTGCCTTAAACTCACGCCAGGCGTGTGTGCGTGCATGCCCAAGATCCTGAGAGGAAAATGGAGAAGAACGGATTGTGGTGTGGCCATCCCTCAGGAGGGTGATTCTCGCTTTCTGTCTCTCTGTCTCTACCTTTCTGGTAAGCGCACATGCCCTATAGTGAAAACTCCTCCAAAAATAAAATAAAATAACTAAAAACATCCCAGGTACTGGAAGAGATATGGACACCCAGACATAGGAAGCTCAAAAATCTCCAAAGAGATTTAACTCAAATAAGCCCTCAGTGTAACTAATATTAATGTGATATAATTAAAATGTCAAGAGTAAAAGACAGGGAATCTTATAAGTAGCAAGAGAACTATAATAGAATTCCCATCCAACCAACAGCAGATTTCTCAGCAGAAACTGTGGAGGCCCAAAGAGAATGAGATGAGATACTCAAAGTACTAAGAAAAGAAATTGCCAACAAAGAATACTACACTCAGCAAGCCTGTCCTTCAGAATAAAAGGAAAAATAAAGTCTTGGAAGAAAATACTTAAGGGATTTATCTTCCCTAGACTGACCTCATAAGAAACCTTTAAAGGGAGATGATGCAGGTAGGACGGGGCTTGTGAAACTAAACACAATAAAAGTATGGCTATGGGAAACTAACATCCTTCTTTCAGTAGGCTTCAGGAGATCCAGAAGGAAATGAAGAGTATAGAACAGCAGGTGATCAGCTTCAGTGGTCTGTCAGATGACAAGAATTATAAGAAGCCGGAGAAACAACTAATGAAAATGAAATGAAACAACTAATGAAACAAGTACTTGAAACAGACTCTGTAGATACTGAGAGGAAAGGGGATATCCAGCAAGCTACAAGAGGGCAGCCAAAGAGACAGAATGCCTCCTCAAAAACTAGAAGCAGAATGCAAACCACCCATACCGGCTCAAAATCCAGAACATTTTTAAGGAGCCCTCAGGAAAGAGAAGATCGTGCTGTTCTCCAGCGGAGACAGCTGTGTAACTGATGAGTTTGAAGAAGGCAACCAGGGGATCATCCTGAGACTGACACATATCAAAATGGGAGGGAAGATCTCCTTGTGGAAAGTGCAGTATTACACCTTAATCAAAGTCTACGCCATGGTAGAGATTATCAAAGATTGCTCCAAGAGGCAACCTTCCCTGCCACTCTCCGAGGATGTGCACCCTTCCATGGCCAAGATCAACTCTGTGATGTGTGACGTGAACAAAGCCAGAGGCACACTGACTATACTTCTTATGGCTGTGAACGGTAATGAGACTTACAGGCACCTGTCGTGTGTGCTGTCAGGACTGACTACTGATCAGGATGCTTTGAATGTGTGTAGAAATCAGAAATTAACAGAGCGGGGGCTGGCAGGTAACGTGGAAGTTAAGAGCACTAGACTCCCCACATGGTTGACTGCAGTTCGAGTCCCAGACCTGGTGGCTTGCTTTCTCACTTTCTCTCTCTCTGTCCCTCTCTGGTCAAATTTTAATTAATTAATTAGTTAATTAATTAAATAAAACAAAATAAAGAATAATTCTTCAGGGGAAAAAAGAACTTATCAGAGGGAAGTAGTCAAAGACATCAACTAATTATTCAAGTATTTGGATTTAGAAGAGGAAGCAGACATTGCTTATGTATTTGACCTGAGACAGAATCACTCCATTTTAAGTATAGAGAAGGTTATCAAGAGAATGAGAAAAACTAAAAATGAACTTCTCAAAGCATAAAATCCTCTTGAATTGTACCTTAGCTCCAAAACAGAATTGCAGGGTTTAATCAGACAGTTGGGTGATATAAGTCTCAAAACAAAACAAAACAAAAACCCTGTATCCAGGAAGACCAAACAAGGTCCATGATTGAAGTGCAGACCCTAATCACTAACACTGACTTGAAGGAAGCCCTGGAGAAAAGAAAGGTGTTCGCCTGCGAGGAGCAACTCCCCCATACACACACAGAGACACAAAGCAGTCTGAAACATTCTGGGAAACCTGTCAAGAGATGCAAGAAGTTCTTTCGGAACTTAATCAGTTTGACGGAAATCACACTGATTAAGAACTGCATAGGCTGGATAAGCTGCTGACTAAGTAGCTGCTAGCCCTAGACACTGTGGTCTCATGGGAAGAAGAGAAGTGCAAGGCTGCCAGGAAATAGGCAGTGAAGCTTGCCCATCATATTCTCAGCTATCTGGACTTGAAATTCAATGAATGGGAGTACTAAAATACCAGAGAGCTCACGTTCGATATTGCTTGTTTTGCATTTTATATATACTTCTATGTATTTATAGAGAATTTTCAGTTCGTTGGGTCTGAATGTGATTTATACATGCATATTTCAATCTCAGTATGTAAAATTTAAGCAAATTATATTCACTATCTCTGCTGCTTTTGGTGTTGCAAAACAAGTATCATTATAGCACACAAACTTTTCCATTCAGAAACAAAAAGAAATCTTTAAAGGGGCTCCACATCTGGGAGCAAAAGGGAAGTAACTACCAACATAAAAAAGTAAAATAAAATTGTGAAACTACAAATACTATATACACAAATGAGGAACAGAAAAGAATCAAGCTGTCACAACAAATCATCAAACCACAATCATGGACAATAAAAGAAGAAAAGGGGACAGCCAGTGGTGCAGTGGTCCCACATAGGAGGCTGGATCCCATATAGCTGACTAAGCAGTTCAAGTCCTAGACCCATCAGCTTGAAAAACATGCTGAGCACATGTGCAGGTATGCTTAAAATTCAAAAAGGACTTTGAGTTGAAGGAGAAGGGATTGCAGTATGATCATGCCTACTGGGGGTGCTTTCTCTTTCTCCAAGTCCCCGACTATGCGGCTTGCTTTCTCACTTTCCCTCCCTCCCTCCCTCCCTCTCCCTCTCTCTAGCTAGTACACATACCCTCTAGTAAATTAAAACAAAACAAAACAAAAAAAAGTCTCTCCTTGCAAAAGAGGGCCAGATTGTTTCACTGCTGAATTATACAAAACTTATAAGAAGAACTAGTATCAATTATCCTTAAACAATTTGAAAAAATGCAGTAGAAGAAAATATCCAAAACTCATGCTACAAGACTAGCATCACCCTGATACCAAAACCAGACAAAGACATAAAAAAAGAAAACTACAGTTCAATATAACTAAATGAACACAGATGCAAAAATTCTCAACAAAATACTAACAAATAGACTCACAAAGCACATTACAAAGATAATACACCATGACCAAATGGGTTTTACCCTAGAGATGAAGGATGGCTCAACATATGCAAATTCCCAAATGTGATATACTATTGAATAGACACAAAATAAAGAAACCATACTCTCATCTCAATAAATGAGGAAAAAGCATTTGATCAAATACAACATCCCTTCATGATAGAAATACTCAACAAATTAGGGATAGATGGAATGTACCTCAACAAAGTAAAGGCCATAGAAGACAAATTCAAACCCACAGTTAATACAGCACAGAACAGTCAAAAGCTGAAAGTCTTCTCTCTAAGAACTGGAACAAAAGAAGAATGCCTACTTTCACCACTCTTACTCAATAAAGTACTGTAAATCCCAGCCATAGCAAAAAGGCATAGCAAAAAGGCAGGAGAAATAAAGGGCATCTGAATTGCTCCTATGTATAAATGACATGATCTTTATATAGAAAACTCTAAAGAGTCCACACACACACACATACACACACACACACACACACATAAAGAAAACTTTTAAAACTGATATACAAAGTCAATAAAGTTGCAAGATACAAAATCAACATATGAAAACTGGTAGATTTTTATTAACCAAGGAGGTGAAAGATCTGTATGATGAAAACTTTAATCCACTGATGAAAAAATTGAAAAAGACATTAAAAAAAGAAAGAAAAAAGAAAAGACATCTCATGTTCATGGATTGGAAGAATCGGTAATGTAAAATATCTACACTACTGAAAGTAATCTACAGATTCAATGCAATAGCAATCAAGATACCAATGACATTTTCCCCATAAAGAGCAAAAACAATCATGAAATTTGGATGGAATCGCAAAGACCCTGACTATCCAAAGAAATGCTGAACAACAACAAAAAAAATGGAGCTAAAGGCATCATACTACCAGATTTCCAAATATAGCCTAAAGCCTTAGTAACAAAACTAGCATGGAACTTGCAGAAAAATAGACACAAAGACCAATGGAACAGAATAGAGACCAAGATTTAAATCCAAATATAAAAAGCCAGTTGATTTTCAACCAAAGTGCAAGGACATCCATTGGGAGAAAGACAGTCTCTTCAAAAACGGTGCTGGAAAAACTAAACAGCTATATGCAGAAAAATGAAGCCAGATCAATATCTCTCCCCTTACACAAAAATCAACTCAAAATAGATTAAAGACATAAACATAAAACCTGAAATAAGGAAGCTACTAAAAGAAAACATAGAGAAAACACTTCAGGACATTGCTATGGGCAGAGTTCATAAATAAAATGTCAAAAGCACAGGCAACAAAGCAATAAAAGACAAATGAGAATACACTGAACTAAAAAGTTTCTGCAGACAAGTAAAAAAATGGGGAAACAACTCACAGAATGGGAGAAATAATTGCATACTACCCATATAACAAGTTGATTACTAACTCAAATATACAAGGAACTTAAATGGCTCAGCAGCAAAAACATAATAACCTGATTTTAAAATGGGCATAATGACTAAACAAACAGTTCTAAAAAAAAAAAAAATACAAATGGCCAAGAAACACTGACAATGCTAATCACCATCAGGGCCAGCACGTGGTGTAGTGGTTAAAGCGCTGGACTCCCACATGGTCAATCACGGTTCAAGTCCCAGATCCACAGCTTAAAACTCATGTCAGGTGCATGTGCGTGTACCCAAAATTCCAAAAAGAGAAAGGACTGTGGTGTACCCATCTCCCCTGGGGGTGGTTTCTCACTTTCTATCTCTTTGTCTCTACAAACAGCACACAGGCCCTATGGCAAGAATCTTTCGAAAGAAAGAAAAAAAGAAAGGAAGGAAGGAAGGAAGGCAGGCAGGCAGGCAGGCTCAGCATCACTAATCATTATAGAAATGCAAATCAAACAAGGATATAATTTCATTACCAAAAGAATAGCTATTAACAAAAAGACAACAAATGCCAACAAGGATGTGCAGAAAAAGGCACTCTTACAGGAATGTAAATTAGTATGACCATTCCTGAAAATGTTATTAACAGTCCTCAAAAGAACTAAAAAACAGAATTTTCACATGATCCAGAAATCCCACTAGTAGGTAGGTGTGTGTATGTGTGTGTGGGCACACGTGCATGTATTTGTGTATGAAGAAAGGGAGAAGGAAATCGGTATGTTGTAAAGGTATCTACACCCCAGTGTTTATTGCACCACTGTTCGTAATAGCCAAGATATGGAATCTACCTAAGTATCCTTCAACAGAACACTGAATAAAGAAAATGGAATACTATTCAGTCACTAAAAAGGAAAAAATCCTGTCGCTTGGCATTAAGTGAATGAGCATGGATTATATAATGTTAAGTGAAACAAGCCAGACACGCAAAGAGAAATATCACAATGTTCTTCTTCATATGTCAAAAAAAAAAATGTCTCATTGAGGTAGAGGGATGAGGAATGATTGCTAGAGATACCTTGGAAGAATGGGAGAATAGAAAAATATTGATTAACAGAAGTAGAATGAAGATAGCTAGGAGCAACAATTTTTAGTGTTGTAAAATGTAGTAGGGAAAATATAGATGACAATAATCTGCTGTGTATCTCAAAGTAACTGAAAGGGAATTCTGAATGTTCTCAACATAAGTAATGACAAATAGTTGAGATGATGAAAAATGCTAACTATCCTGATTTTAATCATCACACCTCATATACTTGTACTGAAATACCACATTATACTCCCACAAATATATATCCAACTCAACGATAGACTATTGCTGCCCTCATTCATCAAATATTTCAATGCAATCTTACCTGCTGCCATTTGCCTTTGATTGCTGGGTCCCTGACTGACTGGCAATGTCTCTGAATCTGCTGTATCACTCCCTGGTAATATACCATTGATGAATCATAATTCCCAAGAAGTGCATATTCTCTTCCTTTCTTTGCATTGTCACAAATCTCAGCCAAGTTCATCTTCTTTTAGAAACCTAAACATAAAACAGAATGACTTTTTAAAAAGTTTTCAGCATCAATTTTAAAACATTTTTATTATTCTTTAAAATATATGTTTAAAACTACTTTAAAATTCAAAATAGTTATCTTTCATTCTTTGAGGTTATTTGAATGCAACTTACAATACTGAACAAAGTTTCCAATTTTAGAAATGTAAAAAAAAAACAGGAATCACAGAAGGATACCTAAGGTGATACTAGGGAGAGAAGTTACACAGCTCTGAACTACTGATGTATATACGGGTACATAAATTGGACACTAGTTTTCCTTGCTCATTTATAATTACCACAAGCTGAAATGATAATAAATATGTCCATGCTTTTTGTATTATTCAACTTATTCTTGACTACATGGAAATAATTATATGCTATCATATAAACATATGAATTTGTACTTTCCACTGATGGCAGTTAAAACTGTAGAAATGAGTTCTAATTAAACTTTGTGGCCCCTAAAATAAAGTCATATTTACAGAAAACATTTACAAGGAATAGTCTATAGCTGTCCATGCATTACTTACATGCCTTTAATTGCTTCCATACAACTTAACCTAAGCAAAAACTATGAATTAAACCATCTGAACCCTTTCTGCTCTTCAACTTGTAATCTTCTATTATCCCTGTCATTCTCTAATAGCTTTTTGGCTAAGCAAGTAAATACTGTTAATCTTTCTTTCCCCTTCTACAGGAAGCTAGAAAGAATGTCCTCTGAACCTCTGATTTCCACCAAAGTTCTCAAGTCCAGCAAGTCTGGCTTTCCCTCCAGGCTTTCCAAAAGTCTCCTAGAATCATCCAAGGCTTCTAGGCAAACATTTTTTCCCTCTCAAGACCACAATAGGAAGTCCAGAGATAGAGAAGAGTTATGTCCTGGGAAAGAGATCAAATTGACCTACATTTAGTGTTTACAGAATACTAAAACCAATGAATACACTTAGTAGAAAAATCAAAATGCTTCTCTATTCCTTTCTGAGAGAATCAAACTTGGCTTGAGTAGTTTGACTCTTCCTCCCTGACTCTGAATCTCTTATCATTAAGAGGCTCAAAAATTCCCCAGAATTAACCATAACTAGTTCTAGCTAATTCAACTGACTTCAGTACATTCTTTAAAAAAAGCTTTTCCCTTTATGTGTTTCAGCATATTATTTTCCCCTTATTCCAGGATATACTTCTTAAAGGCATCATATTGCTTAAGAATTACACTGCAACCAGTACACTACTTTTACGTGGTGAGAAAGTTCAGTTTTCAGTAAATCTAGCCAGAGAACACTGGACAACCATGAAAAGCCTCACTCTCTTTTTTTAGACATTTCTACTATAGGTGTGTACGCTCAACAGAGTCACAGAAAGAAAGAAAGTGAGAAATCACCCCCCAGGAGGGATGGCCACTCCATAATCCCCCAAAGTGAGAAATCACCTAGGGATTTTGGGCACACACACGCACACACACACACACACACACACACCCCACACGCACACATGCCCAGAGTGAGTTTCAAGTCATGGGGTCCAGGAGTCAAACTGCTGTCAGTCACATGGGAGTCCAGCACAGCACCCCAACCACCACGCCAACTGCTGGACCCAGAAAGTCTCTCTTTCAAATTTAGAACATTAAAACAAAACAGTAAGATCTTATTCAGTGAATAAACTACAAGTAATAAATCCAGCAGAAACAAAGTGGCTCCATAAATGTTTTTCTTTTAACATCACTGTGACTTTAATGCTGCAATAAGTGCAAGTACACAGCTATGCAGGATAAAAATATCTTGATGTAAAGTAAGGGTTAGCAAACTTTTCCTTTTAACAGCCACACAGTAAATATCTCAGGCTTTGAGAGCTAATGAGCAAAATGGAGAATATTATATAAGTACTTACATAATGAGACAAAATGTCCCATGATATTTATTGATGGAACTCAAGATGTTATAGTACAGTAATGATAGAAGCACAAATTTTTGTAAGATAGGTTTACTAATGAGTAACAATGGAATTCTTTCCAAGGCTACATGAATGGTATTCAAAGTTAGTGTTTCATGTCATCAAACCAATTACAAATGTTCATGTTATTAGTGCTGATCTTTAATAAGATTTTACTTATTTTTATCTTTGAAATACTTTTTTCAGTAAGTGCCAATTAGGTACTGCCATATACTGATATCATATCACTAGCATATGATTTCAATTCAACATATTAATTTGTTTGGGAGGTATTTAAAGAATTAGTTTGGGAGGCATTTAAAGAATTAGTTGTTCTCTTAGTATTTGCCTTTTAGCATGTTATTACATCCCAGATTAATCACTTCCAATTAAAGGTTAGGTGGAAGTGCTTCCAGTACACAAGTTTAATGGATTTTCTGATATAGAAGTTTCCACTGCACTTCCATCAAAGTCTGAAAAACAATAGCTAGAGTTATAGCTCAGAAAATATATATGCTGAAATTCTGGGTGAGAATGGAGGTCTCACTTCTTTGTTACAACTTTTGACAGCATGGAAAGCTCCATCAACAGCTCAATAGTATGACTCAAACATTAGCTGGCGCTGAAATAATTTTACCATAGTATTTGTTTTTATGTAAGCACTATTGTGTCTTGCATTTAAGGCTAAATCCATTAAGAAACAATAAATTTGCAGCAAAAACTAATTTTCAAAGCCACTCAGTGTTCAATAACACTGGCTGTTAATCTCATTCAGAAAAATTTCACTCTCAACCCTAAATTCAGAAGTTTGCAGTAAAACCTTACTACCACAAAACCATGAAACTGCTGTGTGCTAGAGCAGTGAAGATATTCATCTATTTCTGACAAAAACTAATGGAACAATGACTAAGTCTACAAGAGCAAATGTTGACATCACTGATTCCATATCACATGATAAGTCCAAATACTTTCTACAATATACCTGCTAAAAAATAAATAACCATAGACTTTAAATATCCTGTATTTTGACAGCTTTATAAATACACCCTCCTGAATTCTTTTCTCTTCAACACAAATTCATATCAACATTAGTTATAACACATCTTAGCAGACTACTCTTCAGGTTGTAAGGAATTAATGCCTTCTCAACTTCTAAAAGACACTTTTTTCTTGACTGCAGCTTTCCCACACATACTATTTATTAAGACTAATTCTCTGATAACTTCAAACTTTGAATTAACTTCTCAAACAACAACTGAGCAGTATTAGTGACATCTGTCAACTAATCAAGAGCCAAGGAAAACCACTCAAAATCCTTTGCCTTATTTTTTAATTGACTATTAATATCCTCAACTCTTTGAGCAATTGTTCTTGCCAAAAAGCTAATGTCCTAAATAAGTTTATTTTCTCCAGACATGATTCTGAGTCTGCTGTAATCAAACATTGTTTAGTTGAATCACTATTGACTCCCTTACTTGGCTAAAATACAAGCCACTGAGTAATTTACTCTGGGTGCTGCCTCATTTTAATTTTTCAATTACATGAGAAAATTCTATTGGAATAATATATTCCTCTTTTAAGATTTCTAATTTTTCCAACTATTACTTTCCTGTGGGTCATATTGTAATGAGTGCCTAGTCTGGTACTATCAATGAATATTGTTATTTCTTTCACACTGCTATAGTGTCATAACATAATAAACACATGCTGTCATCTAATTCAATAATCTACACTCCACTGTGATTTAAAAGTGTAACAGTTCCAAGTCTATTTTTTTCCACCTTTTCTTGTTTTCTTGTTTGACATGATGAGTATGCACAGACAATAAATAAAAATGTCACAGTACAGTGATATTCATGATAACTTGAAACACTAATTACAGTACTACTCCTTAGGGTAGTACAAAGCAATGAGACTGCCACGTGGTCTCTGTCACTACTCAACTCTGCTAATTCTAGCACGTAAGCCACCACAGACAATATGTGAACAACTAAATATGATTGTGTGCCAATAAAACTATTTATAGAGCCTGAAACCTGGACTTTATTCATTTCCATGTTATAAAATGATATCCTTCTCTTGATTTCTTTCAACCATTTAAAATGCAAAAATCATTACTAGTTCATGGGGCATTCAAGAACAAGTGCCTGGCTGATATAGCGCTAGATTGCAGTCGGCTGGCTTCTACTTTCAGCCACTATCTTAAATATCTAGAGGGGGTGCAGAGAGGGCGAATTAAACCCAAGAGAAGCATAAAGAAGAATAAAGAGAAGAAATAAATGAAATAGAAGAAAAATTATAGCTTCAGTGTACCCAAAACAGGCTCTTAGAAAATATTGCTAACAGGAGTAAAACTCTAGTAAGACTGATCAAGAAAGGGAGAGAAAGGACACAAATTATCAAAATCAGAAATGAAGCGCCATGAACTACAAATATGAGAAACATTAAAAGCCAAAAGAAGGCTTAATGACATATTCTATGAAGGTTACAACATACCAAGAAGAAACAGTACAGTCAGCCCTCCATATCAGCAACCAACTACAGATAAAAATATTCAGGAATGGGGACCAGCAGGTGGCGTGGTGGTTAAGGCGCTGGACATTCCCACATGGCTGACCATGGTTCAAGTCCTGGACCTGGTGGCTTGCTTTCTCACTTTCTCTCTCTCCCTGTGTCTCTCTCTGGTCAAAATAAAATTAGTAAATGAATAAATAAAATTAATAATAAATAATTATTTGAAAAAAATTTCAGGAAAAATAAATAATAAATAAATAATACAAACAAAAATCCAATATAATATAACTGCTAATTACATAGCATTTACATTGTATTAGGATCACATGTAATCTAGAGATGATTTAAAAGGATGTGCATAGGCTATATACAAATGCTATGCCATTTCATTTAAGGGGCTTGAGCATATTTTGGTATCCCAAGAGGTCCTGTAACTATAGCCTGTAGATACAGATATATATAATCAAACAGTTTTATATCAATGAAACTCAATTTCTATTTAAAACCTTCCCACAAAAGTAAACAAAACCCACTCCAGACTACTGAAT